GGATCTTCAAGAGGAGGTTAGATAGGCATCTGGCTGGGGTCATCTGAACCCAGAACTCTTTCCTGCCTATGCAGGGGGTCGGCCTCGATGATCTATTGAGGTCCCTTCCGACCCTAACATCTATGAATCCTTCAGCTAAGTTAAAGCAGACAGGCACATGACTCCACATGAAAAGAGTACATGTAATTATGCACCTAATTTGTACTCACAGGTGCTACAAGTGTACAAGTTGTCAATTTGGTATTTGTAGAGTCAATTTCACATAGTTCTGCATGGCTTTAAAATGAGGCCTTAAATGCCATCTTCGCTTACTGGACTCTGTTTCCGCAAACCTCACCACATTTTCTGAGAATTAGCAGAAGTCTGTGTGGCTGTTACTCCGAATCCCTCTCACGCTCTTTCATGAACTTTACAGTTGTCCTGAGCCCCGGCAGTTTGTGAAACATACATTTCACGTGGGCACGTGACCAATGGTTTAACTCGGGGGCGTCAGTCGCTCGGGCCCCAGACAGACCTGGGCTGCAGCGCTCCTCACAGGCTGGACTAGGACCAACCTCCAGTGGAAGCGGTAAGTGGTGCGGATGCCCGTGCCACCGCGCGCGCTCAAGGAGAACGTCGGGTACTCTGGGCACGCTCGGAGGAGTGCGCGAATGAAAGACAACTGCAAAAACAAAAGACTAAGCGATCACCGAACACCACCCTGCCCCAGACTAACATGCAGAGGACGCTACGAACGCCCGTCTCCTTGCGGCAGCGCCAGCCCTGCTCTTCAGCAAGCGACGCGCACGGCGCAGCTTTATCCGCTTCCTCCCACAACACACTCCGCAGCCAGTGACTTCGCTGCGCCGCGCCTCCGACTCTGCCCATCGAGACCGGCACACGCTCCCGTCACGGCGCTGGCTGACTATCGGTCTGGGGCCAGCACTGAGCCTCAGATCTCCGGAGCTTCCCACCCGCTCCGGGCTGCGCTCCCAAGCAACCTGACCCGGAGAAGCCCTGCTCCAGCGCGCTGGGGGCCACCGCCGGGCACGGGCCCGTGCAGCCTACATCTCGCGCTGGCGCTGAACGATACCGGGCAGCCACGGCACAAGCAGGCACTGAGCCCGACTCCCCCGCGGGGCAGCCGCGGCGAGCGGCAC